TCAACATTTCGTACATGTTAGGGCACTTAGAAGGTTGTGTAATTAAAACTATTTAAAAAAATGATTTTACATAGCTTTCTGTCTTCCTTCATAATAATGTGTCTGTGTCTAAGAAAAGACAGAACTGCAATGGCACAGTCTGTCTGGTAATGTGTTTATGAAATGCCTCAGGGCCACACGGACACTTTCCTCCTTGTCCCCTTCATCCCTCAGTATCTGTTTCATCCTCCTGCAGCTTCCTCTTTACATTATTTCATTAAAGCCTGCTCCTAGTGTGCATTCGTCCCTGTAAGTCCAACTGATTTGTTAGCACAGGCTGATATATAACATGTGTTCATAGCTTATTGATGGAAACAAAAGGGCCCAGTGTTAACAAGGAGTTAAGATTTTTTTAAACCCTTGGCCATTCTATTTTATTTAAACATATTTTTATGTTTACATATTTTGTTCTCTAAATGCTGACAGGTATAAAAAAAAAGTTCTGCTCCGGTGGACTGCTTCAGCCAGCAGTTATAAAATGGGCTGAAATGTCTGCAATGTTATCTCTACACCTGCTCCTTTTTTCTTACAAAGGAAGATGCTTCTTCATTTTTTTATTGGCTTACATTGCTCACTTCACAGTGATCAAACTCCAGTGACAAAAATGGAAATTTTGACATACAGAACACTGGAGTTTCTGGTCAAGAATCGTCCAATCTGCCAGTTTGTTTGTGTTCTTCACTCAGGCCCAGGTTTAAAAAGATCAGAAGTACCCCAAAGTACAGTTTCTGTCTGTCATGTCAGTATTAAGGTAAACCCTCTGAATTGATGTATACTATTAGTGGTGATAATGGGGTAGAAGAACAGCATAGTGTATATTATCACAACATGTGTCAAAGCACAACATTCATAATGTATTGGAGACTTAGTGGTTCTATTCCACAGTGTTTGCAAGCAATTATGTGTGTGTGTGTGTGTGTGTGTGTGTGTGTGTGTGTGTGTGTGTGTGTGTGTGTGTGTGTGTGTGTGTGTGTGTGTGTGTGAGAAAGCTGTGCTGGCCATGCTTCCTGGGGCGAAGAGTCTGGGCAAACTGTCCTGAGACGTCTCCACATGTCTGTGCGCCATCTTCCCCTCCTCGCCTGCTCAACAAAAGAAATGGAAGAACAACAAAACATGGAACGGATGAATAAAAAAAAATAAAAAAGAATGAATGGATGTATGAATGAATCATCTCAAGAGACGGTTATGTCCGATAAAGTGAAAAGCAGACAACAATAAAGGTGGATGTTTTTGATGATTTCTGCCTTAACCGTCTGTTAATGACAGAAATAAAGTACAGGAATGAATGGGATAAAAACAATGTGTATGAAAGATTACAGATAAGCAACAGTAAGAATTCATTAAAAAAAATTGTCATTTACGGTATTTTTTTAATAAACACAAGTTTAGGGCCTCGACTAACAACGGAATGAATTAAAGAACAAACCGACAGCGTGATCAACTCAAAAACTCCTCAAAGGCAACTAATGCTAACTCAAAAAGAACACGAAGACAAATAATGTCATCAATCGGAATCGAGCATAGAATCTTTACTTTAATGAACTTCATTGGGAGTTAATTTTAGATGAAGCAATTTGAATCCAGTTGTCAAAAAACACATGAAACAACATGAGCTGGGTGATCAATTAGTTCTATTTTTTTATTTTGGTTTTCGGTTAAGAATTGTGTTTTTAAAAGAAAGTCTATCATCATTTGAACTTTTGGAACCACACAGTGTAGCTACCACTGCTTCTCTGAGCTGCAGGGACAAACATTTCTCTTCAGGTGCGGGTCAATCTGCACTGCCCTAGAGCTACTGTAAGGTAATAGGCCAGTTTGTTTTTTCCTCAAAAAGTGTCCTGGGCTGCTGGAAGGGCTTTTGTTTGTCTGACCTTGAAAAATCCCAGTTTGTCGTGAAGTTTCTTTTAAGAACACAGCAACTTAAAGTAGTCCCTCAACTACTTTATTCCAGAATCTCAGAGACATAAAACCAAGTAGCACAAGTCACAAAACTTTAAACACAGGCACTTAAAGTAGGTAATATATCCTGTACCCTAATTCTGTATTTATTCAAGTAAGAAGCACAACTCCTGCCAACTCTGTAGGAAGATATCATCACCATCACTGTCTTCTTAAAGCCAGCCTAACAGTTTATAAAGGTAATGTACAAGGTTTCACTGTCATTCTTACCAAGCACCAGCAGAGTCTGTTTGGCAGCTTCTCGGACTTCCTCTTTGTCCGTCCGACACAGATACACTAACTGATCGATGCTTTCTTTGGCCTGAAAGGAAAACAGAGTGGACATAGAGAGAGACGCCTTTTTATGGCTGTATTTCTTTACTTTATCACTTCCATGTCATACATTTAAACAATTTGTTGCTTCTGGTAAAATAATCGTTCACTTCTACTGAACATGTTAGAGTTTTCTGACAGGATTTAACAGCTTGTGATCAGAGAAAAGATTCTGTGTTTGTACCTTGAGACATGCTAAGGCTTTACATCCACAGACTCTGGTGTGCACACTGTCGTCTTCCAGCAGCTCCAAACAAATGACCAGCGCCTGAGGACGAGAATACACACATAGTTTACTGTTTGTATGAGGCTGCTGAGTGCTAACATGAACCGACTCATCACATGATGAAGACCTGGTCAACACTGCTGCATGTGTGAGCATAACCATCAATCAATCAATATTATAAGCCTATTGTATTTGTGCTATTCTTCACAGGATATCAATGAACCTTTCAGTGGTTGTAAAAACATGTCGTATTCCTACCTGCTCTCTCTGTCTGGGCTGTGTATTCAGGCTTCTCAGCACAGAGCTGGCAGATGCTGATACTTTTCCTCGAGGGTCTTTCAGTAACTTGGCCACAGCGTGAAGTCCCTCCCTCCTCAGGCTGCATGATGCAGGTTGCCGCAGAGCGTGCACAATGACATCTGGCTCACATGACGCCAAGCTCTGCACCAGCCACACTGTTGGATGGATATTGTTACCGATTATTTTCTAACATTATTCTCGAAAATTCATCAGGCATTTGTATATGTGTGTGTTTTTGTGTGTTTTACCTTCTTCTGCCAACTCATTGACGTGTGTCTCCATGTCTGTGATGCTGTTGGCCTCCAGGTAACTCCACAGCTGGAACAGTGTCACCGTCACACTTGCTCTGTTGCCTTCTCGCCGTGGTAACCTCTGATCCAGCACCCGCTCAGCCGTACACAGGAACACTGAGCATACACATAAAATACAGGTTTTATTTTGATGCACAAACACTCACATGCACTTTACAGTTCTTACAAACACATGCTTTCATACCTGTGTCTGCCATGCTGCTGGCCCTCTGAGGCAGGTTGTTGGAGTAAAGGGTGGACAACGCAGAGAGGAAGCTCTCCGCAGAGACCCTGTACACGCTGCCCTGACCCACACACTGTTGCCATAGTAACACAGCGCCCAGACACTGGTCAAGCTGTGGTATCACTGCGAAGGAGAGGGAACAGATCAGAGAAGTTGTGTTTAATTATTTTATTTCAGATCAAGCTTGCTGACATTAACTTGGTTTTGTCTAAAAACTCGATCTCAGCTCAAAGGTTTAAAAATCAACTTCTCTGAGCGAATGATGCAACTGTTTCTGTGTTGTTGATGGACGTTCTGCCATGTCATGTGTACATAAAGAATAGCTGCTACTTTTAAAAAACTAATGTGGATCAAAATAAAACAACAAACAAACTGAGAGCTAAGAAAAAGCTAGCCTAAGTCAGAAACACCAAAATCAACGTACAAAATGAATCATCACTTTTACAGAACTGTTTTACTTTGCATGCACATAAATTCAGGAAAAAATGAACAGTATTCAAAATATATTTTTTTTTCTATAATGATGGCATTTCTCACAGTATTTTAATTTGGTAAAACTGAGAGTTGGAATTATTCAGATAATGATGGAAGCCCAAAGATACTACAGATGGCATTACGGTACATAACATGAGCTCGAACACAGTTTTGAACTGTTTCCATTTTAATTCAATCATCAGTTTGTTTTTTTAAATCATCAATGGACAGCATGTCAGGAGGGGTTACAAGCTAAGCTGTCGCGAGCTCTGTCAGTTTTTTTTTATAGGTTTGAAGAGCATAAATAAATATATGAAAATTTACTTTAATATAATTCAAATCTAGGTAAGCTGAGTTTCTACCCACTTCAGTTTGTTTTAAATAGCAAGCCACCTGCTGTGTGTACTTTATTCATTCCCAGTTTGTGACCCGTCGTACACATTGATCTCTACGCAGGTCTCTGAACACGTTTTCACTTTATCTTTCTATGGTCAGCAGCTGTTTGGCCCACATAAATGGCTTTTGAAAGGACAATGTAATGCTTCAAATATGACTGATGCTTCTCTCGATCTGGAGCTGATGGTCTGACATCGGAGGTGCACAAAGATAAAGAGACTCATGTCTTCACCTTCATTCGGCTGTCTCAGGTCCCGCGGGTTGTCCTTGGTGGCGCGTCGGATGATTTCAAGGACTCGAGCCTCTCTCAGCAGTCGGTCTAAGGCGTACATTTCTCCACATCGCAGAGGACCAAACGTACCCAAACGCTGCAGACAGAATGACATATATATATATTGTTTATCATGTACACAGAACAGATTCATTCTGGTGAATTATCTGAATTCAGTTTGATTTATTGTATTCTCACATAATATTTTAAATAAAACTAGCGTCTGTGCTTGAGGATATAGCTTTACGCCATGATTCTAATAAATCAACTGCTAAAGCTACCTTATTTTGTAAACAAGCCTGACTTTTCAATTACTGCATAAGTCTCTGTATTTAACCTCTACAGACATCCAATTTGTCTGTCAAATGAAATGTTAAGTGCACTGGTACCATTGGAATGAATGCATCAATTGAACATTTATGAACACAGCTGTGAAAATAATACTTCAGGACAATGTAAGAAGTCTCCTACCAGGAGCTGTGTGCAGCAGTTCTTCAGATGGACCACCAGGGAGCAGTCTAGAGTCATGCAGCCTGTTGTGAGAGGAGTGGAAGGGGAGGAGGGACTGTCCCGGCCTCTGTCCTGCAGAGACCTTGAAATATGTAGAAGGAGGAATTAATCCTTGAAGTTTTCTAACTGGAAGTAGCTTCTGAAAGCTCATATGAGTCTAGTTATTGAGGACCTGAGACAGAAGTTAATTATTCGCCTTGGGAAACACAGTAGACAGGAACATTTTACCCCACAGTGTCTTTTATAGCTTTATGGTTCATTCAGCAAATACAGTGCACCTTGTATTAGAGCTGCCGATGTTCAAATATCCCATTTTTTTCAAGTACTTGCCTGTGTTGGCTTTTGTTGAGATGTGAACATCTACAACTCTATGACAATTAAATGCCCATTTCAATACAGTGGAAAGCTCCAAGAACAGCAACTAAACGGTTCAGACTTTTGTAGACATAAAACACCTGAATGCACCATTAGGTAGACATAACTGATGCGTCTGCCCTTTAGTTCCACCAAAGCAAACACTTTTAAGGGCTGTATCCTTGGAAGGTTGGAAGCTTTAATCTAGTCAGCCGACCCTTTTTGTCTGATACGATGGACATATATGGCTTAAATGTCAAAACTCTTCCGTTTAAATTGATGAACTTTTCCCAACTCAGAACAAAGATTCTGGCACTGGAGGCTACATTTGAAAACAAAACTGATATTCTTTACCTAATTTGTCAACTTTAAATGTTACTGAATGGACCCGCAGTAGTCCTGCAAACAGCCAGTTTCTCCAAAGGACCTCCAAGATGGAGTAAGCAGTGATATCTGGGTGATTTGTAACCCAACTGCAGAGCCTCTTTACTCTATAGTATGATCAGTCAATCTAAGTTTAACCAACAAAAAGCAGGTGCCAGTGTCACTGCCGGTGTGTACCAAATAAGAACCAGGTTCTATCAAATGCATCAGTGTGCAGGGAGGAAGCCAGGGAACATGTTGGTGTGTCTCCTGGAGATCAAACTGATATACCAAAACTAAAGAGGAGAAATCCTGTCACTGATGACTGTCTTTCTGTAGAATGTTTTGATTCTCTGAACTTAACAGCGTCAAAGCAGCCTGGACAACAAATGTAGATATTTGCTGCTGAAAACTGTTTACTTTTTATTGTCGTTTTGTTTAATTGTGACACTGGCTACCGCCTTTTTGTGCTCTGTTACTGTCTCAAACACTCCTGAAAGGATGTCAATCAAAGGCAGGATGGATATACCAGGGGAAAAGACTGTACAAGTTATTTTCTTAGGACTGTTAAACTACAGTCCAAGGTCTGAAGCATGTTGTATTTATATTGGCTATATGTTGTGCCTGTTTTATTATTATTTCTTCCTAAATTAAAAAATATATACTTTTTATTTGACTACATTGCTTTGCATTCTGTCTTAGTGAAGCCATGTCACATGTCTGTTTTCACTCTAATGTAAACTATCAGATATCACAATAAATTTTCAATGGCATTAAATTGTGGATTGTGTGAAGTGGTTGCTCAATTTTGTTGTATTTTCCGGAAAAGGTAAATAGATCGGGTCGCGTGCGTGTCAGTACATTTTGTTTCTTTTTTTCTAATCAGGAAGGGTTAGCCGTTTATAAATAATCTAAAATGTGAAATCGAAAACTACATTTTCTCTTTTTCTTAAGTAATTAAAGCATTCTTGAATAAAATATCCAGCTAAATCTTAATAGTATTTGGCCATTATTTTGTATTTCCATTTTCATCTGGATGACTTTAACATCTCAGTATGTGCTTTAATATTTAAAACCAAATTTTATTTCCATCATCTTTGTTTGTTATTATGTAAATAGGTCCTCATAAATGGCTGTGGTTAATAAGTAATGGTCTCAATAAATATATTTGCCTTGTCATATATTTAATAACATGAACAAACTAAACAAACAGTCCAACATGTGGATATCTGTCATATATTTTTACATAATGAGAACCACTCACCAGGTGAAAACTACGAGAACATCACACACAATAAAAATGAAAGAAGAACATCATGTTGCATCAACTCAGAGGTTACAAAAGGAACCTGTCTGGAGATTGAGATATGTGGAAATGGGAAATGGTTAATAGACCTGAGCTTTTATAGCATTTTTATAGTCTTCTCACTCAAAGCACTCTTACACCACATTCACACACTGATGACAGAGGCTTCTATGTAAAGTGTTCATCAGTATAAACTAATCCCATCCACACAGTGCTGCTGACATGTGTGAGCAGGAGCGACTCGGGGTTCAGTGTCTTATCCAAGGACACTTGGATATGTGTCGACTGGAGCTGGGGATTGCCCCGACCAACTACCTCTGAGCCACAGCCGCCCCCAGGGAAGAAGAAAGTATATCAGAAAATCTCTTTTTAAATCTAGAACAATTACTGAAGCATGAATTTGATGGATGTCTGACTGATGTGGGAGTCTCAGACAGAGAGGGGACGGACTGTCTGACATTGAAAAAGTGTCATGTAAACTGAGAGACTTTTGGAGTTGTTAACTGATGACATGGCTTTCTTCTTATTTTTGGTGTTGTTTGTTTGTTTTTTTTCCGTTAAACTAGACGTCAGCTGTTTTGAGGTTCATGATCTGCAGACAGACTTCCTCTTTACATAGCTGTCACTCTTGTTTTGGATCCAAGCAATAATGGTGTGACCCAATGTTTTGATATTTAAATGCATTTAGTTTTTAGATGTTTTAGATTTAAGCTAGGAAACATGCCATCACACTTTAAACACTGATTTTGTTTCGCTAAAGACTCATGTCTCATGCCATGTGTGTGTAGGACATTGAGATTTGATGAGTAACTTCTGTCATTCTGTATTTTTTTTAATCAAATGTAGCTCATCCCAAATCCAAAGCAAACAACCCATTTCACCCGCATGGCGCATTGTTTATTTGGGAATATTGTTGAATACAAAGAAGTAATTCAGCCTTGTGTGCGGTGAATCCCCTCATTTGCTGTCAAGATGATGTTTCCTGCCATCACCTGCTCCACGATAGTGGTGGACTCACAGTACTGTGCACAGAGTATCCACGTTTGTATAAAAAATAGTATCTTGTGCACACTAGATAATTATGTTGCAAGGTATCACCCAACCAATTATAGGCTATTGTGTGAACAAGATAATAACTTGTGCGCAAAAAAGTAAAAATGAAATTTTTGGGACTTCAGGGTGTCTGTACAATCCTGCAGTGTCCTAAAGACAAAAAAAATAGAAGAGGGCCAGGGGTTATGACTTCTCAGGGTGAATATTCTCTATGTGTGAGGTCATTTCTTTAAGTGCTAAACAGAGAGAAAAGTTAATAGAAATGTCATCAGTTTTCCTTCAAAGTAAACTACACATTGGTGTTAGACGGGAAGAAGGGAATCAGCCGGGTCAGTGAGATTAATCATTTTTCTATTTTAAATTTAAACACTGTTTCAAGCCAACAGAGATGTATGTCTTACATTTGTAGTGACACTATTTTCCCAAAAGCATTTTTCATCTCTGTGTTTTACAC